GGAAGAAGTCACTGGCTGCCAGACACTGTGAATAGGGCAAACGAAGACATGCCACAGTGATTTTACTGCTCGAATGAACACTCAGAAGCAGCATTCATTATATTTTCAATCATACCTAAAGACATAAAAGAGGAGCTCTAGACTTGCTTCTTCTGGCAAGAACAATGGGGTAAGTGTATATGAAGCAAGGTGGAATATCCCAAGGGGGATCAATGGCAATGTGTCTTTAAATGTAATAAAGTTTTAAAATTTAAACAAATATCCTATATTTTAATCACCTCTTGTACATTCTTACAAAACTGTTCTAAAAAACAAGGAAAATTCTTGTCAAGTCTTTAAAACCATGTGAAACTAATTTTATTTTTTTCCAAATCTTTGTATGCATCTTCTATTACATAATTTGTTTGAATTATCTCCAATAGTGCATATAAATGACAGATTTTTGTGCCTAATTAATTTCCAGAAGTGGAGACAATAAAGTGAAGGAATGCTAGCTGCAAACACAAGGATTACAATTGTAAACATTTGTAAAAGGTTAATTACTTTCCTAAAGAGAGAAGAGGCTTCTTTTCCATTACACAGAGGTGTGCACGAACGCACACTCATGTGAGCACAGAGGCAGAAGTAACAGCCTGGCTTTTACAACTTAATCCATGAATCAAAACTAAGGAACAGAACTTACAGATTTGTTGTAGGAAACAAAAAACTGCAGGGAGCCACTTTCTTTCTAGGAAGCACAAAAGCTCTTTTTTTTAATCCATTTCTTTTAAGCTACTGAATAAATAAGACAAACATGGAGGATTCAGCCACAGGCAAAAGAAACTGGTGTAGGCTACAACATAAAGAATTACTTAATCTTACAGGTGAGACCAGTTGTTGGCCTCACTGGAGTGCCAGTAGATTTTTCAACTTCCGTAAGTCAGGCAGACAGACAAGACAGACAAATGGTCCCTTGACAGAGAATCAGGTTACAAAAGTCAGCTTCCTTCCACCAATGAAGAAATAATGTAGTTGTGCACTAATCAAAACCAGAACTGAACTCGGCCACAACCAAGAAAAAGACCCAAAGAGTAGGGTCCAGGGTAGAAAACAGCAAGGGTACAAGTTCTAATTGCTGGATGAGGTTCACCTCTGGAGCAAAGTATTCCTTGGGGCAAATGAGGGCCATGTCATAAGCAAAGTCACCTGGTACCTGAGTCACAAGGGTCTCCCAGTCCACCTGTCAAAGGAAAACTCAGAGACAAAGAGCATTTATTAAGAGAATTTCCTTGCAATGAAGATTGCACAGGAATTTCCAGAATTTTCAGGACTGACTCAAAAAAAGAACAGTTAATTTAAAGCAAAATACAAGCATGGATGTTACTGAATAAATAATGCCAGTGGTATTGAGTTAATAATTAACCTCATCAGGGAACAAAACAGCAATTTGCTCATCTAATTGTTCATCTGGTATCTTTGAATACCTTGAAAACCTTTTTCTTGTCTCTGGAGGCAAAGTCCTTCTTCTGTTCTTCCCCTAGCTATAGAATAATCAAATGAAAGCAAGGTAAAACTTGGTTTTGCTGCCCTGACCCCTACTGGGGATCCCTGAAACGTTTCTGGAAACCTCTGCAGCAGGCTCCAGTCTTGCCCAGTATATGACGCAGGCCTGAGAAATCAAACTAAAAGACCAAACTAGGAAAGAAAGCAGGTGCCAGGATGACCAATGCCAGTGCAACTGACAAAGGTGCTGGCCAATCCAAGCCAGATTTTTATTGTTCATCAACTAGGGTAAAGGTGAGCTACATGCAAGGGCAGAACTATGCAATCACGTGGTTTCTATGGAAATTAATGTAAACAAGGCTCATAAAAGACAAGACAAAGCATTCTCAAATTAGGAACAGAATAGACAAAATCTATATGGTTGTAATTAGAACACGATCCTTCTAGTAAGCAGGTTTTAGTTGTAGGAATGGAATTTGGATGTGATTTATTCTGACCTGGGCAGGTAGGCTTCAGCAGGACTCACTTCTATAAACAAGCCAATTGTGGGGTTAACTCTTTACGGTTGCATGGGGCATAACTGATATTAAGGTCACCCAAAGACCCCCATCCTTAAAGCAAGACATGTTTGTTAGTGTTCCTTCAATGAGAAAAGCCACAGTTATCCAGAGCTGAAGTCTTCAGTCTCCATTTTCTTTTTGTGACTGAAAGCTTAGGTCAGTGGTCATAAAATGGTAGTAACTCTGCCCCAATCCTTCAGTTGGCAATGTCTAGAGCCATTTTTAGGTGTTATTCAGAGGAGGTGGGGAAACACAACTGGCAGAGCACAGAGAAGATACTAAATAACCATGGCCCAAAATGTCAACAGTGCCACTGTTAAGAATCCATGGTACAGACACAAGAGCCAAACCACATTAAGTTCAGTTCAGCTTGAGCACTGAAATTCTGGACAGCTGACTCATCACTTTGTCTCAGTTTTCCCATAGATAAACTGCAGGACACAAAATAGCACCTATACCTCATAAGGTTGTTCTGACTATAAAGTACTATGTAACTGTTTACTATGGTACTTTTTATTGGAAATACACAAGCTAGTTCTTCAGTTTCTTCGGTTGCAATGCTGTATAAAGCCATATCAGTATCACCTGAACATTTGCTCCTTTTATCTCCATCTCAATTTCTTCTGCCATGTTTCTAGATGTGGAGAGTTCAACACAAGAATAAGTCTTGATGACCTTTAGTGTGACTCCCAATCACTTTCTATGAGCTATTTCTTTGAATCAAGGTACACAGTTGTGCAGCTGGCTTGACTGCTGTCCTTCTTGAAAGGCAGCCTGCTAATATGGCTGAACTTTTTTGTCAGGTGGCTGAGAACTTAGGGTTTTAGGAGTGTTTCCTCCAATTCTGGAAACTGGTAAAAGTGGCTCATTCAGCCTAAATTGTACAAAAGATACAGTGTATGCTAAACACGGGATTTCCTTCTGAGTTTGGAACTTTGGTAAGTGCCTGGCATGACCTCCATAGTCATCAAGTCTTCCCTGGTTGGCAACATCTCTCAGCTGTTAACACAACTGCTTGCTGGAGAACTAAGTGCATCACGTGTGACTCCTCTGGGAGAGAACTGCTGGTATCCTGAGACAGTATTTCGCATACCTCTCCTCACCTATCTTTCCCTTTCGGTCTCCTTCTGTCTCCTTTTGCTACAATCTCAACTGAGAATATGACTGTAAGGGAGTCCTGTGAGCCCTTCCAGGGAATCACCAGTGGGAAGTTTTGGGGGCCTTCCAACACAAACTCCCATGGTTTCATTCCTTTTTAAAAAAAATACTGGATATTGAACCCAGGACCTCGTGGATACCTCTCTGGCTGAGCTACACCCCCAGCCCATTTTTTAAAACTCTGAGACAGGTTGGCCTCAAATTTGCTATCTTCCTGCCTCCGACCCAGAGTAGCTGGGATTGTGCTACAACGTCCAACTTTCACCCCCCCTTTTTTTTTTCAATTGGTGGTACTGGGGATTGAATCATTGTGACCCCAACACTGAGCTACATCTACAGCTCCTTTTATTTTTTGAGACAGATCGTGCTAAGTTGCCCAGGAAGGACTTGAACTTGTGATCTTCTTGCCTCCGCACCCTAGAGTGCTGGGATTTAGGACCACCGCACCACCACGCCTGGTTCATTCCACACTTGATGATATGTAAAAGGTCAACACCAACTTAAAATATATCACATCTATTACATTTATCATGCACTGCATTAGTAAACATGAGGTGATTAAGCAGTGTCCATTCTCAGCAACTTTAAGTTTTCCTCAAACATTATCTCCCATTATATAAATGAGTCAATGTCCAGTACAAAATTTTTATAAGCAGAACTACATGGCATTTCTTTTTTCCTGGTATTTTCTTGTTGGCATACTTTTGATCATATCAGCAAAATCCTTGCCAAATATCTTTCCCACTTCTCATGAGATGGATCCTATTATCCATCACCGAATTCATTATTCTGGTACTCACACTCAAGTTCTACTCTAATATCTGCTGTATAATCAGTGGCTAACTTTCCATATTCTCCTTTTTCTCCCAAAGACTGAACTTTCAGTAGAACTGTTGCTTAAAAAGATTTTATGTCCCAAACTATTGGTTTTTCAGTCCAGTTTATAGTCCCTAACTAAAGATGCTACACCTTTTATTTCTCCCCTACTATTAACATTTTCAAATTACGTGGAGGGATGTGATCCTCCAACTGTTCATGTCAATAGTTTGTGGTTAACTAAGTTTGGGAAATTAGGTAAGCAAAGTGAAACAAATTTCTCATAGAGTTTCTCAGAACTTTTGATATATCATTTGAATTGTAAAAGAGCATTAAGGGGTCATGGATGGTACCACAGATGGTTTTTGCATAAGTTACACAATAGTAAAAAAGCCTTGCCCAGGAACGTCTTAAGGGGACTAATGCTGTACAGCATCATTCTAAGAAATATTATGCCAGTCCCTGGTGAAGTAGCAGTTATCACATCTGATGTCTGAAAAGTCTGTGGATATGGTTCCAAGAAGGCTACTAATATGATGGCCCATGAGGCATAGGCACATTACTGAGCACTGAATTACCTGCCTTTCAGAAGAGAAACTGGGGAGAAGATGTAGCGCAGTGGTAGAGCAATTATTTAGTATGTATAAGGCTGTGAGTTCAATCCCCAGTACTGGGGGATAAAAGAGAAAGGGGAAGAGAAGGATACAAAGTATCTACAATATTAACCAAAATATGAATTTAAAATGATGGGGAAATACAAAGTTTCTTAAACACTGTTGCAGTAAATTATTTGTCCCATACCATAAAAGGAAAAATTAAATCCAGTTAGTGTAAATCATTACTCAAAAACTCATCTATAATCCTAGAACCTGAATTGCATAATTTCTAAAATGAGAAGAAAATAAACACAAGGTACTAAAAATAAGACTGTTGAGTAAGCATTTTTAAAGTCACAAAAATATATTACTAAATAAACTCAACAAAAATGTTTGTTAATACTTTATTAGTATCCTCTAATGGACAGAACATAATGCAAACCAAATAAAAATTTTAATCTTCTTTTTAGTTAATAAAAATAACTGACATTCTGATTGTTTCTTCTTCGTTAAAGAAGGAAGTATTGGTAGAACAATTAGGCACACAGTTGACACTTACTGTACAATGATATGCACAAGTTATCTTTTAACAATTTTAATCCTAAAATGTGCTCTTTATATTTTTCCCTTGTAATACAGGAGCCATGCTCCTATAAGCAAAATTTACTACTAATAAAAGAATTTTACAAGAAGTGACAAAAAGACTTTTAAAACAAGTCTTTAAATAAGAGGATGCAGCAACAACGGAATGTAAGTTTTTGGGTTAAGAAGACAGTTTAAACTACACCTCAAAACATTAAAAATTCATTTATTTTACAATTTCTCAAATACACATGCATTAAATGAAAATATTGCACAAAATTAAAATTTTAGATTGTGAAATTTATATTGTTCTTAATTAAAAAAAAAATTGGTACACTTTCTGGTAGTACTTGATTTTTTTCCAAACACCAGCAGCAGAAACTTAAAATGAACAAACTGAAACAGTAAATAAAGTTCTTAATGTTTTGTTTTGTTTTGTTTTTTTGAAAAAAATTAAGGCTAACCAAGTGCATCCATTGGTCAATGGCACAATTGTTTTCAGCAACTATTTGGAACACCCCAATTATAGGAAATGCTCGTCTAAGTGCTGTATTTAAATCATACAATCAGTATTTTAGGTGAATAAACTATGATGATTTCTAAGTAGTTTACATGTTAACGGAAAAATCAGAAAACTCAAAGAATGATTAATTTTGAAGGTTTTTGCCTCAAGGCACCACCGACTTAAAAACACATTCAAAAATCAAATATCAGAAGACATAGAGCCTCTTCATGTATATACCTATATATGCAATAAATGCATTAAATGTAATAATTTTATTAAACATAGTACACTGTACTTGACATATGGGTTAAATATTTTACACACAGCTTGACCAAGTCATTCAAAAAATATCTCTAATTTTAGCATGACCACAGTTCTCTCTGATGTAAAATACAGATGTGCATAAAGACACACCACTGTTTACACAGGCTACCACTTCACATTTCTGCTTTTGAAATATAAATTCTTTTAAACCAAAATTACTTAAAAAACCCATTTACTCAAATTGTTTTGTTTGTTTTGGTTATGACTGCAGTTATCTTGCAGAGCTGTTAGGAAAATTTGCAATCTTACATGACTTTTCTATCCCTGGTTGACAGCCAGTATTCTTCACATTATATAGAAATGTTTTTACACACATACATAGTAGGCTCTTACAAGAATTCTTCTTTATACACTTAGCTTTATTCTTGTCAAAAAATATACCTGAAATGGACAGGGGTATATATGAAAGTCATTGCACTTAGGCCATGCTGATGCTTCCCATGGACATGTTTCACATATCTCACTTTTAAAGTCTCGGAGCTGAGGCAAGGAGAAACACTGAGAAGAAATGCTTCTTCCACCAGGGCTACTAAGGATCTTTTCTTGCTTGCCAGTTTGCAGTGAAAGAGATTTCATTTATGTAATTCTAAAGACATGCAACATGCTGAATGTACGCATACTACAAGTATGCACAACAGCATTATTAATAAATATGATTATTATATAGCTTTAAAGGAAGGCTTTATTCTGTTAATAGGCTTTACTTTGTAAGTAAGATCTAAGTGAAAACAAGACAATATCATCTTGTTCCAACCTTAAAGTTCCCAAATAACTGGGATACCAATACTCTGTCCCTTTATCTTAAGCACCCAGACATTCTTTTAATACCAGGATCTTGGCTCAGTGGTCTGATAAGTAGCTTCACTATTTTAAGGTTTTAGTGTTAAATATTTTTAAAACTAAAGAAAGCTGATACATCCAAACCCTCAGTGAATGGAAGTATTTAAAACTATGCAGAAATCCTGCATACAAGGGATATGAAGACTTCCAAGATGAACAAAATGGACAGTGAGAAAATTAGGAAATGCAGAGGCTTCAAAACTGGAAAAGTATTTTGTTCTGTTGGTATAAAATTATTTTCAGGATCTGAATGTATACAGTGTGTGTGTGGGGGGGGGTTGCCTGCTAGCTTTATTTAAAATTTTACATTATGTGAAATATAAATAAAAGCATAGTTTAAAAAATAGTAAAGTTGTTTTATTTATTTTCATATATGTACACATTATAATTAGGAACTTGTATGTTTGTGTATGACTGATAAGCGCGATAATCCTCTCATTTGCTATTTTTATAGTTACCTAAGGGATGTCTAGATCACACAATTTAAATTTATCATATGGCAACTTTCAATAGAGTACTATTTTCTTTTAATGTCCATATTTTCAGAAAGACAGAATGTATTTGGCAGTTCTTCCAACAAATTATTCCCCTTCTGTATAATCAGTAATCTGTTAAAGCTAACACTAATAATTTTGAAACTTAAAATGAAAGCTACCACATGCTTCTTTCTGCACACAGAATGCCAAAAGAAAACTTAGCAAGAGCAAAACAGAGCCCTTAAAGCACATAAGAATCAATTAAAGTTTGTTTTATACCAATGAATATTAAATCTAACCAAATTATGTTTTTTGATTTTATTTTATACTCAAGTTTTATTTTATATCACAAAACTATAATTCAGGAATAAATTATGTCATACTTTAAGGGCATTTTGTCACTTTCCCAGACCTGGCTAATCCAGACTATTAGCAAAATGCTGACACCAATTTACAAAATCATTATGCACAACAAATTTCTCCAAATTATATATTGCACAGTCTTCAACTGTTAAACAAAATAAGGAATTTATCTGTGAACCATTGTTTTGTGCTTTCCTTAGCTCTCGTATGTACACTCTGGCACTTTGTCACTGCTGGAGAATGCTGATTAGCTTGAAGCGGAAGAGATCATCCTTCTTGCACTGAGACGGGGGCGGTATCCTCTCAATGTTGCAAATTACGCACCAAATCATTTAAGACACAGAAATCTCTCTTGGTAGTGGCTGGATTATAGATGAGAATGAGAAGAACCAGTCCTATGGATGTATTAATAACCTATTTTGAGACGCTAAAAGACTGGTGCAGACACAACAGTGTATGAGTTAAGCCCCAGAAGATCTGTCCATGCCATGAGTCCTGGACAAAATGGACACCAGCTTCACAGACGGGAGTGTCACCTTTTCTGTGAAGAAGGTATTTGAGTAGTTTGAAGTTTCTGTTTATATTTCTGCATCTGCTCTGACCGTGAATGTAGTTTGTTGAAAAGTTCACGGAATTTATACTGTGGAAATAACGTTTCTAAAAAGCCTTCCAAGAAGACATAAACCATTCTCCTATTTAACTGGTTGTGCTGAAACATTTCAAAAACACGAAGAATACCTTTCCGTGTTGTCTCAGCTCCAATAATGTGCTTCAGTTCATCTGAAAGAAGAGGGGGACAATACAAATAACTTATTACTCAAGTAAAAGAAACACAAGGCTTAAACATGATCTTGAATAAAATATATACAATACACAGCAGAGTAAGCAATAAATAGTAGGAATTTAATGTATTATATATCAAGGACATAAAAATATGTATGTGAACATGCATGCAGCTACCATTCCACTTACATAATAGTATTAAGAGACACTATGACACAGAATAGTTAGGATCCAGGCTTAAGAGATCTCAAATTACAGTCACAATCCCGTCCCTAATATCCATGTGATACCCACTTTGATTTTGTTTCCCCAACTATTAAACAGGGATGTCTAATAACTAATATCCTTGTAGCTGTAAGCTTTTATAAGACTTTAGTAAGCCAATGTAGCATGTGTTTTGTAAATTCTAAAACATTATACATTCTTACTATGTTTAATGAATAATAAGAAATGCTATAAAACAACTAGCCCATGATTTAGATTAAAAATTGAACACAGCAAAAAGAAAAAACAAAAAAATGAATCCATGATATCAAAAATCAGTTCCATAAAAATACAAAGAAGTTGCTTATGTTTACAGTGCACTAACAAGATTCCCTTCATAGAAAAAGTACAACTATAGTATACTTTGCTACTCAGGCAGGATTTTTGTAAGTAGAAGGAAATGAAAGATCAGCCTTGGTAGGGAGAGTACTAATGAACAAATGAGCAGTAAATTAAAAAAAAAAAAGTTCAATGAAATTTGGTTGAATTTCAGAAATCCTGTAAGAGAAAGCACAGAGAATAGAAAAGGATGCTATTACCATCAGGGGAGGCAAGTTTGTAGGAGTTTACCCACAGACTACATGAAGTTACTAGTGATACTGGAGTATGGGATCAACATGTAGGACTATTTTGGAGTTATTTATAAATCATACCAGCAGCCTAAATATTATTTTGCTCCTTTAAGAAGAAACATGCAACTTCCAAAAATTCTGTATCTAACTAAAGCTACAGTAAAATTTAAAGCGAGTATGCTGTGAATTTACTAAAAAGCAGGCAGTCAAGAATATGTATCTCCTATACTTTTAGACCCATCTTCACTTCCTTTAGAGCTTCATACCAACGTCAACTTCTCAGTGAGGTGTTCCTTGGCCACCCCATTAACAATTCACCTGACACTGCCTATTATCTTTCCCACCTTTATTTTTTTCTTTAGTACTTATCACTGTCTAACATACTACACTTTATTTATTTATATATGTCCTCCTAAGAGAAGGTAAGGTTCAAGAAAGCGGGATATGTGCGAAGAACAATGTCTGGCACACAGTGCACTTCCAATAAATATTTACTGAATAAGTGAATTACGATTCTTTCGGCTACATAAGCGTAGTTTATTCTGGTTTACTAAACAGTATATTAAATAATATACCAAGTTATTGTTTCTTATTTTTCTAAAATGTTATTTCTTTGCTTTATACCACCAAATGCAACAGTATACAAGGAAGAATTAATAGTCATGTGGCAAATTTCTAATTAATTGATGGAAGACAAAACTGATCACTAAAATTTTATGATGAAAATAGTTTTAAATTACTAGAAAACAATTTTAAGTATTATGATATTAAAGAACTTATGAATATGTCTTGTCTATTTTCTACATATATGATTAAAATAGAGAAAAGATACCTAGGCATTATAAGATATTCATAAAAAGAGACAAAACTATCTCCCCTACCTCTGACCACTTTCATATTATACAGCCTTTCTGACTGCGAAAAGATAAAGATGATAAAGCACATCTAAGTTAGTGAGTCAGCCCTATATTAGACAAGTAACACAAATCAAACCAACAAAATACTGCAATATACACTTTCTTTGGGAAGATGTTTTAATAATGATTAATAATGAGCCAATCAGTTGTTTTGACATAAATGGATTCTGAAAGAATGTCTGTTCTTCTAAGCAGAACATCCTTCCTGAATCTTCATTTTCTTTTATTAGCCCAATCGTGTGTTATATATTTTATTTTTTAACTTATCCCAAAATGTTTTAAGATAGCACAGTAGTTCAAAGTACAAGTTTTCAGGCTGGCATGGTGACACCTGACTCTAGTCCCAGCATTCTGGGAGGCTGGGACAGATCACAAATTTGAGCCCAGCCTGGACAACTAAGCAAGAAAGCGGGGGAGGGTTTGGGGATGTAGTTCAGTGTAAAGCCCCTGGGTTCAACCCCCAGTGGAGGGAGCAGGTAGGAGTGTGTAAGCTTTCAAATCACTTAAAGATGAGTCAATCATGTCCTTTACTAGCTCTAAGTCCTGGGTAGGTTACTTAGCCTCTCTGAGCTTTGGTTTCCTCACTTATAAAGCTGTTGTGTTAATAGTACCTAGTGGCTTCAGAGGACTCAGGAAGGTTAGTTAAAAGAAATGCCTAACACAGTGCCTTTTATATAGTAAGCATCAAATGGCAATTTTTATAATAAAAACTAGGTAAATTAGCATGAACAATATCAGAAATTCAGAACTACAAATTAATGAACATTAAATCAAACACACACACTTACCTGGCATTATTGCAAATAATTTTGTTTTTCCTGCAATTCTTGTTCTCATTCGTATAGCTTTGTCTCTGCATGGAACAGTCTCTGCTGAAATGCCATTTGGCCAAAATGCATCTCTATATAAGAAGATTAAATAAATTTTGTAAACATTTTCATTTTTTAATGCTCTAAGTTGATAAAATTATTTCAAATTTCTGAAGAAAATACAAATGTGAACAGAAAATGCTTTTAAAATTTTAACAGGTCTAATGACAGTCAACACAGATCAACTCAGTGCAGGATTCAGTTTCAGGTGTTAAAGAATATAAAGAAAAATAACTTAAAGTCTACCTTTCAGCAGTTCGTAAACACTAACAAAGACAGCAAAGTGGAACAAACACAAACATTTCAGTCATTTAAACTCAAAAGTGAGCACTGCTGACTGAACATCTCATCCAAACACAACCCAGGACAACTTGAATTCGGACTCCTCAGACTTTAAAAATCTACTCTGCTGCAGTTGTGCCACCGCACTCCCCTCATAGCTAAGCGGAGTTAAAACTGAGTTCCATGCCTACAACTTACACCTGGACTGAGTCCACTGGTACAGTAACTCGGCTCACAAACGCTTTTGTTTGCAAATAATTTGGTTCACAAACAGAAGCATTTGGCAAAATTTTGCTTGTGAACTCTGCACTGGGTTACCAGCATAACTGTATCCATCTTTCCCACATGAACACAGATGTGGCCGCCTTTTCCAGAACCATGGAACCGAGGTTCTGAGTTTGTGAGCTAAGGTACCATTGTGCAATGGTGCTTTCACACATACAACAACCTCTTCTCCTCAACTTTCACAGTGTACTTCCTTTATTCCTGTTCCCTAATATTTGGTCCCCGGCAGAAACGGAGCAGTAACTACACATCCATCTAGAACTGGTCTGAGGGAGAGACTTCCCCAGAGTGACTGTTCTTTAATTTGCATTAGAAACACTAGGGAGGCTTTAAGAAATCTTCCACTCAATTAAATGAGAGCCATCTCTGGGAATGGTATCCCAGGATCGACCAGTGCTTGTGTACAGGCAAGGCTGGGTCTCACTGTTACTAAGAATATCAGTCATCTGCCCTGAAAGAACATGAACATGAAACATATCATATGGAGTGGAGAAACTGAGCTTCAGAGTAGAAAAGTCACATTTCTCACTCTCCAACACAAGAGCCTTTGGACAAACTACTCTTCTCTAATCCTCAGTTTCTTCTTCATAACAAAATAGAGACAAAAACACCTACCTTGTAAAATAGGATAGACTCAGAAACCATAAAGTATTGGGCACAGTGCCAAGCACATGGTTAGTATTGGTAATTCCCTTCTTGCTTCCTTTCCTTATTTTCAAAGGATGCCATCAATTTTTACACACATCTTCACTTTTAGAAAAGAAGTTTATTTCCCTACTATCTGTGCTTTCCTCAAAGGACTGCATCTTATCTCCTACTCCTTAGTGATTGGCAGAGTACTAGACAGAGAAGGGGCTCAATATATATTTGTGGTATGAACACATGAATCAATATATCAGTGACATCTTCAAAGGTTCAAATATTTAATTAAAAATTTAGATAATGAGCCAAGCATGGCGTCTCATGCCTACAATCCTAGTTACTTGGGAGACTGAGGCAGGAGGATCATAAGTTTGAGGCTCTCACACCTGGGCAATTTAGTGAGAGGAGGACAGAGGTGGGGGAAAAAGAAATGGAAAGAGAGAAAAGGGCTAAAGATGTAGGTCAGTGGTAGTTGGCCTCAGTATAATGGCCCCCTGTCAAAAAAAAAAAAAAAGAAAAGAAAAGAAAGAAAAAAATTAAACCATGGACAAAGAGATATATGGTTTTCTGAAGCCTTTCACTTAAAATCAAGGTTACAACTGTAAAACACAAATCCCCCAAACTAGGTATTTCAATATATGATCATGCTATCTCTGTACTAATATTCCAATTATTTTAAAGTCATAATACTGTGATAAAAGGTAGCCTATTATATTAAATATTTTTCTTTTATACACTTCCTAGTTTTATTTAAAACAAAGATCAACAGATAGATGGGACTGTTTATTACAATTCTCACAAGAGATTTTGCTCAACAATGTGACAACTTTATAACCAGGAAAAAACCAAAAGCAATGAAAGTTAGTAAGTGATAACAATGCTAAACTCTGTACTACCTGAAAGAAGGGAATGTGCCTTATACTGTACCTGAAACGTTTCACTGAGTCGGCTACTTGTTCAGGTGAGGTCATCCAATCAACATGGTCAACTATTTTTCTGAAAGTAAAGAAATTTAATCAAGTAAGCTTAAAATTTCAGAGGATGAATAAAATGAAATATGACTTTCACAAAGCAAACAACATAATTTGGAAATAAGTTATCTCTGAGAGCAACAGCCTGTTTCAAAGATCTTCTTAAAAGACTCAGAGAAGAAATTTTCCTACGAAAGTTAAGCAATCTATTTCCAGAAGTAAAAGTTTAAAAGTTAAGCTCAGACTCTAAGTATGGGAGAAAAAGAGTGGCACCTATTAATAGTATCGCCGTATGTAGCTCTAATAAGCTGCTGAAGTAGGTTTTTGATATTCCTTCGCAACCACTGATTTCTCTCTTTCAAGTCGAAAACTTCATCCATGAGAAGCAACATTACCCTAAGTGGAATATTGTCATCCACCTGGCAAAATATGGAAAGAAATAAGAATAAATTTATTGGTTAGCTACATACTACAAATGGCTATTTTTTTCCTGCTTTAACAAAATGGTACTATTTCAACAAGTCATAATTTGACATTTCATTCTAGTTTAGAAAAAAACTTTTTAAATAGTCACTTTGACAGAATACAGAATTTTATAATCCTACAATGATGAGTAAATTTCAAAGTTAATGTTTTTCTTAGAAATAAAACATTTCTCAAAGTGGATTTATGATGGTGTTAGGGAAAGTTGATTTATCTCTTAACTTTAGCAGATTAAGTCATGCTAGGGCCTTATTTTCTGAAGCATTTTTTGGTAAGAATGAAATAGTCTCAGTATGTCTATTTAATTGAACAAAACAATACACAATGTGTTTTGCTTGGTTAATAAGCTATATATATTTTGGTATTTTCAGGGGAAAATAGTTGTTATTCAATCCAATACACAACTAAATTAACATTACACAAGACATATTTCACTAGATTACTAAAATTTTCTTTTAGTTTTTAATAACTAAAACTATACTTTTATTATGGGACTATTCAATCAATGAGGTAAAAAGTAATGAAGATACCCAGAATACTTTGATGTAAAAAAATTATGTATGAAATGGAAAGCTGGTACAGATTTAGGACTAGATATAATTAAAAGTTTACAATTTTTTCACCACTAAGATAATCTTTGCAATTATTTCATCATCAATGTTATCATTTCAATACTCAGGAAAATGCATGAAATTATACATTTTTTATTATCACATTGTACTTAGTACACTTTCCTCCTAGTCCACAAATTGAGAGGTTATAACAGTGGTGGTGAATCTATGGCAGGTGTCCCACAGCTGGCTGTTTGTTATCTTTGAAAGCTCTAAAAGATTCACCATCACTGGCTTATAGCTTCCAACTTTTGTCTTGCCCGGACCACACTGAGTGAAGAGGAATTCTCTTGGGTGGCAAATAAAACATATAATATAGTTAATGTTATAAGTAACAAAATTTCTGTTTTTGTATTTGTTATTATAACATTTAAAAAAAAAAAGAAGGGGCCGGGGATTTAGCTCAGTGGTTTCGCTGCCTGCTGTGCAAGCGCAAGGACCCAAGTTCAATCCCCGGTACCAAAAAAAAAAAAACAAAGAAAAGGGCAAGCTGCTTGCAGGGTGCAGGCTGGACATACTCAAGGGGATAGAGGAGAGGGACACTTATTTCATTATGGAGGCAGAATAAATATTGCTTAACTCTTTGATAAAGCAGAAATCCAGGAGCTTGGTGTCACAGGACAATTGTAGTGAACAGTCAAAATGTAAAAACTACATTCCAAGAGACATGATGTTATGGACAGTATACAAGAGAAATTTTTAAATATTCTAAAAAAATTCCTGAAAAAGCAAATAAAATTTTTAATATTTATAAATAAATTCCATCAGAAACAGAAAGGAGATAATTATAATTTTTAAATAAGTCTACACAAGAAGAAAGAATATGGAGCCCAGAAACAGATTCAAAGATATATGATAACATGATTTGTGATAAGAAAGAAAACAGTACAGTGGGGAAAAGATGGCCATTTCAGTAAATAGTGCTTGGATAAAGCAGAACCCTACCTCATCTCATATACAAAAATCAAACACAGGTAAACTGCAAATCTAAACACGAGCATGGTAAAACAAAAAAGAGTTTTAAAGAAAATTACAGGACAACATTCTGTGACCTTGCAGGAGGCATAAATTACATATAGAGTATATAAGAGCAATACAGAGTGGAAGATAATCCATATATATATATATATATATATGACAAAGAACTCATGCCGGTTATATACAACGCTCCTAATTAAAAGAGGTAAGCGGAGCAATAGAAGTGGGCAACAGACCTAGCCAAACACACAAGAGAGGACCCCAAGTAGCCAATAAACATAAAAAAGCTCAACATTTCAATAGATTTCACTACTTGTAAAAGAAAAGTGAATCCATATGGAATACAACCACCAGAATAGATAAATTTTAAAAACCACAAAAAATAGGCAGAATGTAGTCTCTCATGTACTGCTGGTGCACTGTAAGTGATACAAATAGTTTGGAAAACTATTTGGCAGTATCTACTGAAATTGAATTTGTGCATATTCTCTAACCCAGCAATTTCATTCCAGGTACAGGCCCAACAGAAATGAGTACTTATATTTTTAATCATAAGGCATGTACTAGAATGTTCTCAAATTCTGTACATAATACAATGAATAAATTGTGCCAAACTTATAAAATGAATACTAGAAAGTCATGAGAATAAAGGACTATAATCACATAAAACAACATGAAAGAACATCACAATGTTGAGCAAAGAAAGCCAGGTTTAATTAGAGGAATACATACAGTTTTATTCATATAAAGTGTCAATGCATGGTCAAAGTTAGGATAGCAATACCTTTGGTGAGGGAGAGAGTCATGATAAGACTAGAGCATATGGCATTCTTGGGAGTACTGGTAGTTTTCTGGTTTTTTATTAAAGTATAGATTACAGGGACATGTTCAATTTTTAAGAACTTACTAAACTTCATATAATGTGTATATGAGTCATACATGTACATATTTATTAAAAAGTTTAAAATATCTGAAAGCATGATTTGAACTACAATTACTAAACGTATTATCAAAAACAAAAATTAACTCACATTATCATCAAGTTGAGCTGAGACTCGACAATGTTCAGGATCTGAATCAGTCTTTGTAATTAAAGGAGGCACCTAACATGGAAAAAAAAAGTGAACACACTAAAGCTGACAGTGAAAGAACACAATATATTAATAAACTGAATATTACAAACATAAACAAAGATTAATGATCTACAACTTGAAACCAAATATAGAAGGGTGTTTATTTCATTGCCCAAAGGTCTGAAATGCTTTTCAGTGCGAAGATTAGTCAAACCCCTACACTTTGTAGACTAACCTAAAATTAAGAAAGGTGAAATGACTTGAAGATCAAATAGCAACCTACCCAAAAAACAAAACTTCAATATTCTTTCACCAAGAGTTCTTGATAGTTGGTGTTAATAGGTTTAAGAAATTAACCAAGTGTTAAAATAAGTTCAAGAGAAAGAAGGACAAAACGACCAATAATGGCTAAAAATCCTATGTCATCATAGGAGGAATTACCAAGATCACCTATTTTAATCTCCTGAAAGTTACTGATGAGGACAAGAACGGTCAGAAAAATTCAATGACTTTTGCACAAAGTCATATGAGCAGCTGGCAGCAGAAGTGGTACTGCTATTCACTTCAGTTACTGGTGTGTTTTCTCACAAGAGATAAAGATGAAGCATGATAGAGAGATTAAAATTAATAGAAAAGTATGATTTACATACTCTATTTAAAAAATTATCTTTTATATTAAGAAAAATGTTTATATATATTTGCCCTCCATTCAAACCTAACAAACAAAAAATTCTAATAGCTTGAGTTTTTAAAATAGCTTTAATTACAAACTTTAAAAATCACATCAAAATTATAAAAAAATTAAATTAGGAATCTAACAAACTGCTTGGCACAGTATCTTTATCTTCTGCTAATGTAAGGAAAAGCTTTCTGAGAAAGGATTCTATGTCACTCAGAGGTACATTTGTATGAAGCCAAAGACCAAGGTAGTGAAAGAATTTTCCTTTTTTTGATATGGAAGTATCTCTGTCATATGAATCACAGAAAAAATTAGACTTTATGTTTCTTGAGTGAATGCTAGTACAAGATATTTGCAAACAACATTTACTCATTTGTTAAGGAATTCAGAGTATTATAAATAAAAGGAATTTTATTATGAAACAGTATAAAAATTACTAATTTTAAGTATTTCTTGTAAATAGATTTTTCAACTCTACCATAGCAGGGACTGATGAGTGACTGCATTTTTTAGATACGTTTTTGTGATAAGAATTTATTCTCTTTAGTTTTTCATTCCTTATAAGATTGTGTCTGATGGACTTTGGGAAGGAAATAAGGTAAATCTAGGCAGGAGGAGCTCAAGGTACCTTAGCTGACTCAAGACAGTTTGCTTTAGACATTACTAAAAATGTCTTACCTTGAAAAATGATTGCTTTATGTCTTGACCTAATCTTTCTGACATTTTGCCCATGTTGTCTGACATTTTAGTCATTCCTTCTGCCAAGCTATCAGGAAGGGATTTAACTGCATTTGAAACATTCCTCATAGAATTTCGAAGTGGATTTACAAAAGTGTCCATCTGAAGGAAGAAAGATTTTGTGCCATGACTTCATTATATCAGATCTGATGTTCAACTCAGAAGCCCCAGAAAATACAGAATGCAACACACAAGGAAAGATATATTCATCTTCCAGTGTATATTATGTCACTACATTTTAAAATTTTTTAAATATTGTCTTTAGTGTTATAAAAATGGGTTTTTCACATTCACATATATGATTTAGAAGTCTTACTAATGAGATTATTGTTAGAAAATCAATATAAGCTTTCATTGCCTTCTTATTAAATTCTGAATAATAAAGTTAACAAATTGATGCAAGTAGAATTAGCCATTTCACACTTCCACAACAACTCAAATCAATAATCAGATATTTGTTGTAGACACTGAAAATAAAACAAGCAGGTAAAATATACAGAAAGCTGAAATAACTAACTATTATTTAAGATTTCTTTTTAAAAATAAATTTTAGGATACATTATATGCTCAATAATCAAGAGAATCTGGGGTTCATTATGAGCAAGACAAAAGAAAAGTTACAAATCAGCTGTGTAAATCATATTTCATATAGAATACAACAATTATGTATAAAAAGAAAATACAATCATAGAGATAAAAAGGAGTAAAAATGCAGAGGGTCAGGAAACAAAACTTGGTATTTTGACATACACATGTCAAATAATTTCAAATAAGAAAAGGAGACATCTAAAGAAACCAAAGAAGCTGACGTGGAACCCTCTGAGAGATGTTTAGCAAATGAAAATTTAAGAAATTAAAAGAACACAAAAGTCAAAGCCATACCAAAACTATGAGAATATTTTCCTGAAAGTATTGATTCTCATAAACTATCAAGCAAATTATGTTCCATGTAAAAAGGAAAAAAAAAAGTAACAAAACCAAACCTCACTGCTTAGAGAATGCAGCACTACAAAGAAGGCAAAACTCCCTCACTCTAATTATGATTTCATGGTTTCCATCAAAAAAACTAGAAAAGCTGAAACAACTATTAATAACAATAAAACATGAATTTCAATACAACTGTAAAAGGTTTGGGAGTTCTGGTTACTCCTCAGTTTAAAGTTGAGTCAATAGTACTGCAGATATGCTCCATGGAACACCCAATCTCAAGAGGGACATTCACAGTACAACTTACAAATAAAACCACTGGTGAAGACAGGAAGATGAAAAAGATGAAACTCATTATCATGTCCATGTGTGTAGATGCATGTATACGTGTGCATGTGTATTTCTAATTCTAAATACTATAGTTTTTGTTCACTAGTACAGAATCAACCAGGACATTACTTCAAAAACTTTTTGTTTTAATTGTAACAATGTTGCAAGCTAAGTCATGAGAACACTAAAGAGAAGTATGACAATATCACATTTAAAATGTGCAGCTAGGGGAAATGCCCATCTTTTAATGAGTTATAACATTCATAGAAGAGATAGGATTTCAGAAGTATAAAAGGCATGCATTTCACTTTAATCTACAATCTACATTAAAAACTGAACATCCAAACATATTTTAGAATTTCATACCTCTTATACTGCACAGCAGATTTAAGTGTTAATCTTACAAGTTGGTTAAATGAATACAATTTCATACAAAAATCTATGTATGGGGCTTAAATACCACTGATATTATTTTGAGGTAAAATAAATTTTATACCAATAAATTTGAAAAAATTAAAGTGTCGACAGTATACCGTTCCAGACCACAGAATTAACATCCCCACTGGGTGAGTGCGGGCGTGCACGGGTTCCTAATTTCTATGAGTGAAGTCCAAGTATGTGTATTAGGAAGGGACTAGGATAAGCAAGGAGATCAAAAAACATCCACAGGTGACTCTGATGTCTAACTTTGGAGGATATAAAAGCATAGTTCATCACCCTATGATTACATTTACAAAAATAGGGTTTGTCTTAAAATAGATATTTAGGAGGAGAAAAATACACTTTCAAATTATCACGCACAGGAGTAAATAGTAGATTTCTAGTTTAAGTGTACACTTAGCCTGACTTTAACAGATGCTCTCTATTTATTCAATTACCCTCTGAATTGAGCTTTTTGTATTGGTAGCAACATAATGAATTTTTAACTTAAATCAAGATTTCTAACTACAGTTTAATATGCCTTCACGTTAGTATAACACTGGATCAGGGATAACTGTGTGCATAAAGAAAAGTTGCTTGTCACTATCTCTTCCTAGGAATTGTTACATAGATTTTGCAAAGTTAGGATCAAATTAATGGGTTATAAGGTATCATTTCTCCAGCTATGAAGAGCCACTCATTAAATTTTTGCACATTATTTTTCTTTAATAGCTACTTAACTGAAATGTAATTAAGGAAAAAATACTGTAGTATAATAGCCAAAAAAATAAAAACTTTAAATTACTGATATGCATTAAAATTTATTCTGACAACTTACAAGGTCAAGATGATCTTAATGATTACAAATATTAATTTATGACAAATAGGTTATTATGGATTACCAGGTATGATTCAGAGAGATATTAAACTTCATTAGTAATTTTTTTAAAGGGCTATGTAACAGAATATACATAGGTGCTACTGCTGGTCATTAAAAAATTCTATGTACACCTAATATGATGTTTCTTTTAATTAAAAAGTTATCAGTTCATTACTTTATCTTAAAACTGATGCAACTGTAAGACAGAAAATAAGGTAAATTAAACATCAAAATATAGAACACTGGGATGCATTTCTAAAGCAATTTAAAATTGGAATTTAAATGTAATCACTTCAACCATGAAATACAAAAATGAGAACCACATACATTTTTGTCATCATTGTAAGGTCAATACCCTAGAATTTTCTTTTAAAACAAAGCATTCAACATAGAAATACAGCATTCATGAGGATGTTAAAATCCAATATCCTAGATAGTCACACAATGCTCTAAAGTAACATCGTCAATTTTTGAGGAAACTAAAGTACCAAGAGATTAAGTAACAGGTCCAAGGTCATAACAAATAGCAAAGCAGGGATCTGACCCAAAAGCTATCTGGTCTCAGTTTATGTTTCTACTCATTAAACCATCTTGCCCAATTTGAGCACTCTTATCATTTACTGTTCTAACTTAGCATCTTATTCCAAGTATAGGTCTTACATCCTGTTTGAAATTATTCAAAAGATTTTAAGTAATAAAGGTTTTACCCAAAAGATACATACATATACTTTCAGAACACATTTTATTTAACATTTTTCTTAACATTATTATTTCATGTAAAAGACATTTTCTTCCAGTAAAAAAAGATTTCCTGAAGAAAAGGCTTAAAAAAAAAAAAAATCAGTGAAGTATAGTGGGCAAGAAGCTGGACTCCAGGCCAAGACAATGAAAACCTTGTGATCTGTGTTAGGCAGACATTTCTTTATGCACCATTTCAAAACATTTTTGTTTTCAAGCTTTTGCTGAATTATCTTTATATATGTGGAGATGGTTCACACACAGTAGACACTGCTATCAGTAGTACAATTAAAGCATAGAAGATAAACATGCTAAGGAGCATTTTAAATTTTTTTCTAGCTTTAAAACATAAATTTAATCTAAACAATTGTTTTATTCAAAAGAAATTATAAAACCAGACCCAAAAATAACCCTAATGGAATGGTTCGCTTACCTTGCGAGCAAAGTCCCCTTTCCCTTTACTGTAGGCTTTATTCTCAAGGAAGTCATATACACAGTGAGCCAAAGCTGGGCATGCTTTCATCATTTCAGGAGTTAATAGTAACTAATGAAGAAGTACAAAGTTATTTTACAATGGTAAGAATATCATTGCTTATAATTTTATCTCTTAAAAAGAATGCAAAGAATTTAATTCTATATTTTAAAAAACACAATTACCCAGTTAAAATACAATTACCCAGTTAAAATAAAGTCACCAATAACTTGGTTACAATTAAGTTTGATATATATCCTTCCTATCTGTTACTTTGACATTCAGTGCATCTAATGTGAAAGTTGCCCAAAAATATTTGCTATTAATATATATACTGACCACATATCTGATTCTAAGATGATTCACATAAATTGTTACTCACATAGTGCTAAAATTAACATTTTAATAGAAATAAAATCAACATTTTAATAGAAACAAAATTTTAGGAAACAGAAAATACAAAAAATAATCCAAACAAAAACTTCCAAATGTTATAAAGAAGTTCCAAACAAAATAATGCTTTCACAATGCTAATAATATTATAGCTTAGTTCTTTCAACAACTTGTAACATACTGAGTTCATGAGCTAATACATGGTACAGTCACAATTAAGAGCTACATTATGGGATCAGATATGGAAAGAGGTAGTCCTTTTCTAAATCTTCTAATAATTCATACAGATTTTTAATGGAACTGAAGTTGGTACTTTTAAAAAAAATCAAAACATTGGACAAGGGCATAAACAGTATCAGGTGATAAGCTTTAAATCAAGAGAAGACAGGTGAGCAACATCAGAGATTTATATACTTTTGCTGTTGAATCTGTCAATACATGGAATTACAATAACAATTACAACAATTACAATAACAATAGAATGGAATTACAGTAATGGTTATAAACAAATCCAGTTGCAGCTGTAAGTATTTAAGACAAAAAGAGAAAACAATCTTCCAATCAAAAATATGTAGTATATGATCAGCTAAATTTCACTAAATTCTAAGACAGGAGTCAGCAAAATTTTTCTATAAAGAGCCAGACAGTCATTATTTTTGGTTTTGGGGGCCACAGTGCTGTTTGAGGTCCAATTCTGCTATTTGTGATACCAGGCACAGATAATGGATGGTAAATGAAAGGGGTGAATATGCTCCAATAAACCTCTTAGCAAAAAGCAGTTAGTACACTGGTTGGGATATGGAGTCTGTAGTTTGCTGATTCCTGTTCTAGAGGTCAGGGAGCTAAATAATGGAATACTATAAACCTGGGCTGATACCTTCTCTAATATGCATGAAAACTTCATAAACCATTAACTAGTTAAAATAAATTAGTTACTTCTGGGTGTCCTAACAATTTATGTAACAAGTAACTTGTTACATTTGTTGTTATTCTAAAAGACAAACTATATATTCAGTACACTACCGATAAGAAATAATCCTTCATATCTACCTTTCTTTTGAATTCATTTTAGAAGCCTTATAATCATTCTGGGCCATGGGAGGCAGTTATACACATCTATTTGGGAATAAAAATCGCCCTGTTTTTGATACATCAGTAAGAGCTACTACACACTAAACTGAGAACATTTAACATAAAATACCTGTACATTACAATAATCTGGAATGGTTGTATATTCATCTAAATATGAAAAAGCACAATCTCTCAGTGGTTAGAAAACTTCTAAGTTGATCAATAAATGTAGAAATAATGTTTATAAATGACTGAGAAGATTGCATGAAAGATTTAAGATGCTGCTCAGAAGTGGTTGTTATCCCATTTTTACAGTTGGGGAGGCTGGGAATTAAATCTAGGGCTACATGAACGCTAAGCATGTTTTCTACCACTCAGCTGCACCTCTAGCCCCATTCTTTAATAAAGAAATCTACTGTTGTGTGACATGTAACATGAAAATCTATGGTAAATATAGTAGTAAACATGAACTTACTTGTAAATAGGCATTTAGATCCTTTTTCCTTTTTTCTAAAAAATCTCTATCCATGTTATTAAAAGTCTTTTTACCAGGAAGCTTCAATATGCTTG